CAACATAACATCATCAATATATCAATAAATTACAATTTAGTATAAATAATTATTGTTTATCATAATTTTCTGTTCATTTTAATACAATATTCAGATATAATGGCTGATTATATCGAACGTGTATCATTTGTTGGATGGTTATCAAGAACAAAATTTCAAAAAATTTGGGTGATGTTTTTAGCTGTAATTAATCCATCTAATCAAAATAATAATGATAATGAACAAATAACAAATTGTTTAACAAAAGAAGAAATTTTTGGAAACAAATGCTACACAATGGTAATTCAAAGGAATCAATAGGCATTTATTCTGATTGCCTCTCTAAAGGAACTCCGGATAGAATTCGGTGGACTCTTCCTCCAAGTCTTCCTTGTTAATTAGTTCTTCATCAGATCATATTTACATTGATCTTATCTGCTTTCTTTTTTTTTACAGTGTATAGATTCATGGTGTAACAACAATTTTATAAAATGCTCTTCGTCTTTTATTATTATATGAACAACTTTCATATTATACAATATTAACATCAATTCAAAGTAATATTAATGCATCACCGTTACCAGCAAATCTACATTTAGATTTTTCAAATTCATTTGATTAATAATATATTTCTACGTTTTTAGAGTTTATTTGATCATTTATTTTCTCCTCATGGTCTTGACTTAACATCTTTTTTACAAATTTGAATTGAATTTTATGTTCGATGGTTAACAGCTAATTCTAATAGTCTATGTCTACAATTAACAAGTTTGTACGATTTATGTGATGAATATTTTCGTACATGATTTGATGAAGATGATTTAGTAATGTCGTTAAATAAATTATGGTTTATGTAAGTCATGTATTCTTCTTGAACAAACAACAAAAGAATCAAATGAATTATATCAACGTTTAATTGAACGTTATTTAAAATATTTAACAAAAACAAATGCATATGTGTTATGTTAATTTATACTTGAAAGTCATGAAGATATTTTAAATAAATCTTTAATAACAATTTTAATGCAAGAATTAGATTGTGAAATACTAAATTAATAATTTTAAAACAAATTTAGGTATACGTTTAAATGGATTTATACTACCAAATGTATTTTATTTAATTGAAAATAATTATACAAATTCATATGAAATTTTATCATTATTATTTAAACATGATACATTAGATATAAATGATAATTTAACTCAACAAATAATATCTATTGGTCTCGAAAGACTTTTACTTCTTAGTCAATATCGAAAAAATCATATTTTGTGCTCATAAAAACATTTAATAAGAATGTTTCAATATAAGAATAACATCTAAGAAATTTTAAATAATATTTTCGAAGCTGGAAGTCTGGTGAACCAAAATGAGATAACATACTTCATTTCATCTCTTCTAACGAAAAGCTAAATAGGTTGATCAAGATGACCGTTAAATATCTACTCTGAGATAATCACGTTTCTTCAACTCTAGAGAGTGTACATTCCACCAAATAGTATCTGATACTCAGTTTCTGACAGCAACTCTGAATCTGAAGTCAAATTTTTATTTGGAACAAACCAAGTCAATATAGTATTTAATAGCGAGTCAAAATACATCTTGCCAATAGATACCTGAGGAGTCAAGTTTTTTTATTCCAAAATCCGACTTCGACTACGAAAAATTTCGTTTTACTGACTTGGATTCCGTCGGAGGTAGAATCGAGTTTCGAAGATCCCGCAGATCTCTACTCGAGGACTATCAAAGCGCAGAGATTGTGGTTCCCACTAAAACTTCGCACACGTCTTTTTGCACAACAGATAGTAGCTAAAGATTTGCATAATTTCAAGAGCCTTCAAACAATAGACTCTGCATGTAGAACACCATGACTTAATAAAGTTATTGGAAAATTACTGCAAAATGACGACCAACAAGCATAGACGTTTGCCTTTCCTTCTCTTGTTGAGGTACCATCGACTACTTAAAACTAATACAATGAATACTAGTGTAATTCATTTTTTAGAGAGATATTTTTTGCATCTTGAAAGATCTCTTCTTTCTCAAAGGAACGACCAAAGACAGAGACATTCAAAAAACTATACAAATGTGAGAAACGGTATTTCTTACAAGTTTTATGGACTAACTACCAATATTGGACGATTGTGAACTGCGACATTTTTCGTAAGTACGTCAACAAGCCTAATATTTCGGATTCATGAGTTTCACGATATGAACTTTCGTTTGAGTTGAAAAAAAAAATAAAAAAGGCTCTGCTATTGAAAAATCCTCTTTAAATTTCGTCGATCTTCTGGTAGCTCCTCTTGGCGATGTCAAGATCAGAGAGAAATATTCACTCTTGCTTGTTTTTTTCCTACAGTCTTCAGTAAAACCAGAAGCGACATCATTGATCGATCCATAAAAACAAAACTTTTTCAATTGTTTGTTATTACTTGTGAAAATACATGCATAGTTGTTCTCTGGGCTAATACTATATATCAGAGAAATTATATAGCGGTTGTCATGTCTGCCAATCAACGAATTAAAACCACTAATAAAAATAAACATGAGTTCAAAGATTCTTTTTGTGATCTGTACTTGGTTAAAACAGATTAGATCTTAAATGAGAGCATTGGCAAAATCTACTAATTTTCAGATTTAGCTAGGCTTTATTTAAATTTAAACATAAAAAAAAATATAAATATACAACATAAGTTATTTGTTCTAATCTATTTTGATTGGTTTTATTGCTGAATCTTTTAACAATTTTCTTTCGATTTCCCTAAATCTCAATTTTGCTTGACATATATACGACACCAAATTCCAATATACTTATACACTTGTGCAAAACTAAATCAAATCCAAATTTAGATTTCAGACATAATCTTCAAACCAAGACAGGAAGCTCAAATGAAAATCGCATCAAAACACCTTGATCCTCAATCCTAGAGACACGTTTGATTGGTTCTATTTCTATTCATTTTCGATGTTGATTGTAATCCAATTTTCAATTGTTCTTGAGTCCATTGACGAATTTTTTCTTGAGTATATCTACTTTGTGGTGACCAAAGATGAAACAAAGCATATATATGCATTAATCCTTCACCTTCATCTAATATTACTTTTACACCTGATAATCTCATCTTTTCAGTCATATCACGAATCGCATCTATTGATATTTCATCGGTACCAGCTGTTACATAAAGTGGTGGAAATCCTTCAAATAAATTATCTTTTGGACTTATTTTACTTAGTTCTTCATCAGTTACTTCAAACCAATAAGTATCTTTACCAATTACTAATTTTCTTAATTTATATGCAAGTCCTATTGATAAATAACCATCCGTAGGGAATCTAGCAATTCTATCCAAATATTCTAGATTAGGCCATGGAGAATGTAAAACAACACCTTGTGGAACAGGTTTATTATTAGATATAATCCATTGTAATAGATAAATCCAAAGCATTCCACCTGATGAATCACCCATTCCAATT